ATAATATTCCATTGTATATATATACCACATCTTCTTTATCCAGTCATCTGTCGATGGACATCTTGGCTCTTTCCACAGTTTGGCTATTGTGGACATTGCTTATTGCAATGATTTCTTACAGGTTGCCCACACCCACCTGCACTCAGAAGGCCTGCATGCTTGCAATGGCCTTGGGCAGCTCTGTTGTCTGGCAAAACAGCCATCACCCCTGGGCAGGCCCATGTCAGCCGACCTGGGAAGCCAGCATGAGGTCATATAATTAGGAGTATGCCCAGGCATCCGGACAAAAACAATTTTCAGCATCTCTCTGATTTCTGCCCAATCACAGGTGAACTGGCTACTGAGACTCTTTGCTGAGAGCAGCCCCTGGCCGTGGCCTCCGCCCGCCCCCAGGCCAGTCCGCGATCCATTGCACTGCTGTCCACCCCTTACTATTCTTTTTCCGATTTCTTTCTATTGCAGTAAAATACACATAACACAAAACGGATTGCCGTAATCATATTTAAGAGCGTTAGTTCAGTGGCGTGAAGTATATTCCCAGTGTTGTGCCTGCCATCACCACCACCATCCATCTCCAGAGCTTTTCCATCTTGCATAACTGAAACTCTGTACTCATTAGCAGTAACTCCTCACTTCCCCCTCCCCCAGCTCCCAGCAGCCACAATCCTACCTTCTGCCTCTATGATTTTGACTACTCTTAGTACCTCATATAAGGGGAATCACATATTGCCTTTTTGTGTCTGGCTTATTTCACTTAGCATAATGTCTTCGAGGTCCATCCATGTGGTAGCCTATGTCAGAATTTTCTTCCTTTTTAAAACCGAATAATATTCCATTGTCTGAATAGATGGCATTTTGTTTATCCACTCATCTACTGACGGACACTAGGGTTGCTTCCGCTTTTTACGACGGTGAATAATGGTGCTGGGAACATGGATGTACAAACATCTCTTCCAGACTGCTTTCGATTCTTTTGGGAGGAGAATTGCTGGATTCTGGGGTGCCTGGATGACTGAGTCGTTAAGCGTCTGCCTTCGGCTCGGGTCATGATCCCGGGGTCCTGGGATCGAGTCCCAGGTTCGGCTCCCTGCTCAGCAGGGGGTCTGCTTCTCCCTCTCCCTCTGCGACTCCCCCTGATTGTGCGCTCTCTCTCTCTCAAATAAATAAATAATTAAAATCTTTAAAAAAAATTGCTGGATTCTATGGTAATTCTATTGACTTGATAGAATTTCTTGAGTTTTAATTTTTTGAAGAGCCACCGTACCTTTTTCTACAGCAGCTGCCCCATTTTGCATCCCCGCCGATAGTGTAAAGGGTTCCAATTTCTCCACATCCTTTTAGGCTGCAGGTTTAAGAAGAAAATCAAAGACATTTTGTAGATATTTACATGATAAGGGAGAAAACAATTCCCACACATTTTTGATTAACAAAATTCAAACTACTATATTGAGTCTAATTTTTCTGTCATACAGGTCTATTAATAAGAATGGAATTCTTTTGGGCGCCTGGGTGGCTCAGTCGGCTAAGCGGCTGCCTTCGGCTCGGGTTGTGATCCCGGGGTCCTGGGATCGAGCCCCGCCATCGGGCTCCCTGCTCGGCGGGAGGCCTGCTTCTCCCTCTCCCACTCCCCCTGCTTGTGTTCCTGCTCTCACTATCTCTCTCTCTGTCAAATAAATAAAATATTAAAAAAAAAAAAAAAGAATGGAATTCTTTGAAGGGAGGACAACACTTTTTTTTTTATTCTTATGTTAATCCCCATACATTACATCATTAGTTTTAGATGAAGTGTTCCATGATTCATTGTTTGTGCATAACACCCAGTGCTCCATGCAGAATGTGCCGTCCTCAATACCCACCACCAGGCTAACCCATCCTCCCACCCCCCTCCCCTCTAGAACCCCCAGCCTGTTTTTCAGAGTCCATCATCTCTCCTGGTTCGTCTACCCGGGAGGACAACACTTTAACTGAAGTTCAGAGTTAGTGTTCTCTACTGTCAAAATCCGTTGCAAATATTTTATTTTAAAAAAAAACCATTGAAAAATATAAAAGCCCTACTCACCAGCTATACACGGCAGCAGGTCAGATGAGGCTCGCCGGTGGTGGTTGCTTGCTGGCCTCCGTGCTGAGCAATCAGTGCACTTTGGAAGGGGGAAGATAGACATTTGAAAGAGAGAAGAAAGGAAGGGAAATGCTCCGGATCTGGGTATACCTGTCGTGGGCACACAAGGCGCCCTGAGTGTTGTTAACATCAGCAGTTTAGAGCCAAGGGGCAGCGATATTGCCCCCGCGGCTCTGAAATCTGAGACCTTGAAGCTTTGGAAGAGGGAAAAAGCACCAAACAGCAGAGTTTAGGAGATGAGTCAGCTTTGGAGCAGGGACCCACTCTGCCGCTGCCCCCCCGTGGCTAAGGTGGCCCTGAATGACTGCCTCAAACACATGCCCCTGTTCCTGTTCCCGGCAGAGGCTCTGCTGCTTACAGAGGGGGCCTGATGGAGTTCATTATTTTCCCTCTGGGAGTGGGCTCCTGGGTCTGGGGTGGGGGCTGTTCGGAGATGTTTAGAAATGGTAAGGCTGGCAGGCGACTGCTTGCTTGGCAGAGAGGCCTATTCACCCCACTCCTTTCCTTGGGCGAGAGATTGGTGCACCCAAGACAGGAATGCAGGTCTTGAGGTGACACACGTGGGGACCCAAATCGCCCTTGAGCTGTGTGTGCTCTCATGTGGCTTCCTTCCTACTTCATGCAGGGCCCACCTGCAGCTCAGGTCTTCTCTGCAGATCCCAGAGATGATGAATGCCCTCAAAGTGAATCTCATTTGAGTACTGAACTACAGTTACCTTTAAAAAAAATCAGATTTGGCGGGGGTCAGGGGGGGATGGGGGGGAGGCGCCTGGGTGGCTCAGTCGGTTGAGTATCTGGCTATTGATTTTGGATCCGAGTCGTGAGATCGAGCCCCACGTCAAGCTCTGTGCTCAGCGGGAGTCTGCCTGAGATTCTCTCTCTCCTTCTCCCTCTGCCCCTTCTCCCCTCTAAAATAAATAGAGGGCGCCTGGGTGGCTCAGTTGGTTAAGCGACTGCCTTCGGCTC